GCTAGAAGACAACAGTTTCAACACACGTAAAAATAATGATATCAGTAAAGAGAGCTTTAGAGGTCCCTCTACTCACTTGATACTCCCTCTGTCACCTAGCTAGCTCCTGGGTGAAGCAGGAACAGGCAGCACAATGGAAACATTTGCACCCAAAGCAACAGGGAGCCACAGGCAGCTCTTTTTTATTTTATTTTTACATCCCAACTTTGGGCGCAAGAAAAAAAAAAAACCTTGCAGTCAGACCCTCCTACTATGTAAGATTTAAATGCCTGTTAGGGCTAAGGGGTGCAAGAAAAGGAGATATTACTCACCTTACTCCCCACGCTGGCATGCTCCAATGCTCTCCTCTTGTCCCTAACACTCCAATCTATGAGTGGTGCCTCGGTGTCATCACGTGGAATGCAAGGGTAATATCGTTTGTTGTAAAACAACCTTACATTTGTTTCATTCTGTACCTTTTTTTCATCAGATGATTGATCAGAAGGTGGAAGAGTGGGAAAGGGAGGATGAGAGGGAAAGATATTTTGTGCTGGTAGTAGGAGCTCTGCTCTCTCTAGGCTTTATTACAATAGTTATATATATGTCATTAACATTTCTGAATGTTAAAATTGTTAATGAATGTGTCGATATTAATGACATCTGTAATGTAAACCTGCCATAAATTGAAGATATTTGTGATCTCCTTCTAAAAAAGTCTAATAGCCTGGCTGTTATAGTTAGTTTTTTCTGGATTCAATGGTTTTTGAATCATTGGCTTGCAACAACAAGTGTGTAGATCAGGAAAGTCACGTTAAAGACAGAAGTCCTTGTATGCAGTTTTTTTTTGGGGAATATGCAACTCAGAATTCAGGAAAAGTTAGAACATATGACATGGCTTTTATGCTGTCTGTGCCTTCCTGTTCTAGTGACACCTGCACCCTTTATTTCTAGTGTGGGGGTTTAGGGAACAGGAAGTAAAGGAAAATCTTGAAGACAAAAATAAAAACCTGACACAAATGTAACCCTTACTAACTCTATCCAAAACGTAAAAAAATGAAGTTAGGCTTTTTTGCTGCCAAAGATGTAAGTCTGACAGCGACCAGGAGTTTGTTTATATATATATCAACGTAACCGAGCTTTCTAATAGAAGGAATTCTGGCAGTTTTTCAGCCAGCCAATCAATTCTACAATTCTATAGTGCCGTATCCCTTCCGGACTTCCCCCTACTATGTTTCATGGGCTAAATTGGAGATTGTATTGTGTTTGTTGCACTAAAATGAATTTGAATGCATTTTTTCATTGAAATTTTGGGTTTGATAAACAGTTGCACTAATATTGTGTGACATACAAAATTTAACTGTCATTGTTTTATCTTACAGGGTTTCTGCTTTCACAGAATTTATAATCTTGGCAGGTTTAATGGAATCTTCAGACATTAAATGTACATTTTACCATGTTTGCAAAAAAACAATAAAAGTGAAAAAAAAGTCTCCGGCAGGAAAGGATTATTGTCTAAGTTTACCTTTCTGACCATGTTTCATGTCGCACCCAAATTTAGAGTGTAACATGAAACATGGTCAGATTAGATTTTTAGAACCTCCCAATCCATCCCTTTCTATTAGTATATGTCTTGTAAACAGGTAACTAGAAAAATGCAAGTTTGGTATTTCAGTTTATCATGAACAAAATCACAGTTTTTTTTTTTTTTTCAGCTTGTGCTCATCAACAGCTTGACCTTGTGTTTTTGATTGATGGTTCTGCAAGTATTACCCCAAGTGACTTCGAAACATCAAAGGTTTTCATGAAAGAGATAGTAGACAGTTTCACTATTGCAGAAAACAGGGTACGTATTGGGGTGGCTCAGTACAGCGAGGGCCCACAGAAGGAATTCTTCTTGAATGAGCACTACTCCAGCTCAAAAATGAAAGATCATATTGACCAAATAGTTCAGCTGAATCAGAATACCTACACAGGAAAAGGCCTCAAGTTTGTCAAACAGTTTTTTGATCCTGTTAATGGGAGTCGTAAAAACCAAAATGTTCCTCAGTATTTAATAGTCATGACAGATGGTGAGTCTCATGATACTGTAGACGAAGAGGCTGCTGAACTGAGGAACAATGGAATTAAAATCTTCTCTATTGGAATCGGTCTCAAAAACAGCTTTGAGCTTATTCAGATTGCCGGAAATCCAAACAATGTTTTTTTGGTTGAAAACTTTAATGTTCTGGACTCAATCAAAAGGAAAATTGTGTCTCAAGTCTGTGAGCAAACAGATGAACCTTCCAAAGGTAAGGACTATGTAGAGGTTTTAGAATCTTTCCTCTACTTTTTTTCATGTACGATGTTGAGGTACCTGTAATTAAATGTAAAACTCAGTTCCAGGTACTGTGTTAGTTGCATTTGTTGCATTTGAGTGTGCTTTCTTTGGATTAAAGCGAAACTGAATGTGCCTCTAATACACAGCGTTTACAGAGCATTATGAGCAACCCTGTCCCTACAATAAATCATTAAACATTAAATTACAACCAGCCTGTAAAAGAACTAGTTATCTGACACACAAGAAGTGTTGAATTCCAGCAGTGTCTATAGTTCTTGAAGAGAGCAAAGATTAGACTCACCAAACACTGGAAAATACATATTTAACCTCTTGCCGTCCGCCCGTAGTAAAAAAACGGACGGACGGCACTGCTACATCTGCGGGTTGCCGTCTCCAGACGGCAATTTTTTTCTGCTCGCGCGCGCCCCCTAGCGGGCATGCACGGGCAGAAAAGACCCGACGATTAAACACACCCGTTACCGGGTGTTTTACATATAGGCGATCAGCGGGTCCATAGCCCGCCGATCGCCTATATGTGCTCGCTCGCGGGACAAACCCCCCCCCCCGCGCGCGGTCGGTGCTTCCGGGTTTCTTTTTTCCCCCCCTGACCCCTCACCTTGATTCCCGGGATCCGCTGCCCCATCTTGGATCCCGGGACCGGCTCCGAGGGCGTCAGGAGGAGGAGGACGGGAGATCAGCTCCTTGCTGATCTCCGTCCGGGCTGTGAATGCAGAAGTGATGTGTATTACATCACTTCCGCATTCACCTGTCAGTCATCTGGAGAAAGGGAATAGGGCTTTAGACATCTATGGCAAAAACATACACAGACTCCAGATTCACCAATCCTTTCAGGCTTCCACAGTGCAGAACTACTAGTAGAACAGGCTGACACTGTGCAGCAGTGCACTGTGCAGTAGAAAACCAGACTTGTTCCTAAGGTCCATATCAGCTCCTGGTACCTCCAACAGTCATAGGTCTCCTCTGGTTCTCCTCCCCAGATAGTTCCAGACCCCTCCTGAGTTCACATGTGGCCTCCAGTAGGCTTGAGGCCTAGTCAATCTTGCACAAGCCACCCCCAGGCCAAGCCCGGGGTGGACTGAACCCAAGCACATGGCAATCCCTGAGTATTTATGCACTCCCTCAGCATGCACCATTGGCCATTAAACTCCTAGTGATCGACTGATGAGGCATAGACACTCCTGATGTTCCCCTAGTGGCAGGGTCACGCCCCACTCACAGGCAGCTATAATCAGTAGCATACATTTAAAAAATGTGTGTTAAGCGCACTACTAATGGTGAAAATTGTAGATGCCAGTGGTGGGTGTGCAAGCTCCTAGAAAAGGCAGAGGTGTCCTGTATATAATCACACAAAAACTAACAAAAGGAGCGCTACAACCTGAGGGCATTCCCATTGCTGGGATCTACAAATGACTGGTGTATGTGTGATAAATTAATAAACGAGAAATTAAATAGTGAAAGAATGATAAGGCATTCACTAGAAATAGGGATGGTGGAAATCCTCCTGTAGAAGAATGGACAGAAGCCTCCTGGGGAATGTAGAGATGGTGCAAGCCAGGGGCGGATCCAGAGTCTAGTCTCGGGGGGGCACTGCCACAAAATAAGCCCCCCCATCTGGCTCTTCCACTGCTACTGTGCCACCCCTTTCCTCTGTCACTGGCTATGTTTCCACTGCCCCCCCCGGCTCTCCTCCGCACTCACCTGGCCCTTCCTTCTGGGATATTGCCGCCGCTGCCAGCCTTGAGTGCTCTGTACTCACACAAATTAGGCAGCTGCAAAGCCCCTGCGTGGGCCGAGACGGCCGCCTAATTTGTCTGACTGCAGTGCAGCCTCTGCTTTGGGTCCCGATCGTTTGGTGTGGCCGGCCAGGCCCAGCAGAGGGGCGGAGGGAGCGATAATAATAAATGCAGAGTGCGGAGGTCAGTAATGTGACGCAGTGTGGAAGTCAGTAATGTAACGCAGAGTGCGGAGGTCAGTAATGTGACGCAATGAGGATGCCAGTAATGTGACGCAGTGCGGAGGTCAGTAATGTGATGCAGTGCGGAGGTCAGTAATGTGATGCAGTGCGGAGGTCAGTAATGCGACGCAGTGTGGAGGTCAGTAATGTGACGCAGTGCGCAGGTCACCGGTGTAAGAAAAGGGACTTACTGTGGTGATGTGCTCTGTCCTCATGCCCTCTTCTTCCTCTCCAAGTCGGGATCACGTCGGGTAAATAGACACCAAACACGTCCATAGGCCCATGGGCGACGCTTAAAACGCTTTTACTGCTCATCAGTTTAGTGTTATCAGTGATTAATGGCCCTAAAATTATTGCTCTCACTCCGACGTTTGCGGCGATATGGAACATGTGCGGCACAATAGGTGCAATCGTCGTTTCCGCGCGCAGGCGCACCCGACGCATATATGCGTGTGTATGCGGGGGCTTAAAAAAAATTGTTTTCTTTTTACATTTTTTTATGCTTTATTTTTTTTATAATTCTTTAAATTTTTGAATTGCTCTTTTTTTTTTACACACAACTTTATTGCTATTAGATGGGGGGCTAAGAAGCCCCCTATGTGATCGCCAATTTACACGACAAGACCCCTAATGTCACCTAGGGACCCCCAGAGAAGCTGATGAAGCAGAGATCGGCTTCATCAGCTTCTGTAGTTGGAGAGTGACACTGAATGCAGGAAGAAAAAGTTTATTGAGAGCGCTACTACTGTATTAAGCAGGAGGGGGGACTCACGTTTGAGAAGTCATCTGCAGGAGGAACTCCAGTGGGGCCCCTGGAAGAATGCAGACCTGCTGAGCCCTGTGGTCTGGTAGGTTCAGTGTCTTTGAGGACGCGGGCTGCGGTTGAAGAACAGCTGTCTCTTGCAAGGACTCAGATGGCCAGGCTGAGTCATTGCGGCCGTGGGCACTGTGTGCCTGAGGTACTGTCTGCCGTCGGCTTCGTGTCAGTTGGCTCGGGAGTCAAAGGGTTGGTTTGGAGAGGAACGAACGCCGACGGGAGTAGTAGGAGGGTCAAAGAGCAATGGAGAGCGGTGTATGCGGGGTCGGTAGCTACGCATTTCGAGGCGGGGCCTCTTTGTCAAGCTCTGATCGAACGGGGAGAACGGAATTGCGGGAAACAACTTGGGCTTTAAAACTGACAGCTGGGCTGTCTGTGCGAGGGAGAGAAGCAGCTGGGGAGAAGAAAACGATCCACGGGGAGTACACAGAGCTGGAAGAGATCTTGAGCGAGGACCCAATGTCCTTATTCTGGTGTAAAGGCAAAGCGTTTCAAGGTTTACATAAACACCCCTAATGTTCCCCTGTTAGCTGCTCCACTCTGTGGCAGGGTTACGCCCCACTCACAGGTAGGTGTAATCAATAGCACAACACCTAGAATTAACCAAATGATACCAGGCTACAAATCAGCCAGAATTATTACAGTGCTAGCAACACGAAGTTTAAGTAGCCACTCAACTTAGGGTGGTAGGGGCTACAAAAGTTTATAATCAACTCACTGTGTGCTGGTTATTTTATATGTAAGTGCAAGTACTTTACTTCATTTTCTAAGCTAAGTGTAAATTTACTATGTAATGAACATTCTTGATTCCTTTAGTAAACCAACTGCTGTGTTTTAAACAGATTGGGGTCTATTCACAAAGCTGCCGAAGGATCTGGCCGTAGCTTCGGCCGATCCTTCGGCTAGCTTCGGCCCCAGGACCCCTTTGGTTCAGTGGAACCGAAGGGGTGCTGTACGGGCTATTCACAATAGCCCGTACAACTCCCGATCATGGCCGAGCGGCTCAGCCAAGCCGAACGCATATGCATCGGCTCGGCCAATCCGTGCTGAAAGCCGAAGCTTCTGACAGCTGGCTCCGGCCACTTGCAGTGAGCTCAGCATCCCTGGTTACCTGCTAACCAGGGACACTGATCTCCAAACAGCAAACTCCCCCTAGCGCAACTGTTCGGGATCTTTAAGCATAGCCCGAACAGCAGTGAGAAGCCTGCCGGAGGTTCGGCTCAGCCGATCCAGATGTTGGATCGGCTGAGTCGAACTCCTTCTGCACTTCGGGTCGGCCGAACATGCTGAGCATGTTTGGCCGACCCGAAGCCACACGAAGCAAGCCGATGTATGGCTGATTTCAGCCGATGTACGGCTGAAATTAGCCGTACCAGCCTGAAGTGAATAGCCGAACAGTGTTCGGCTCACTTCACTTCAGATCGGTCATTCACTCGGCTGCCCTCGGCAGCTTCGTGAATAGACCCCATTGTGTATGTTTTACTTGCAGTATTTAAATGTACACTAGGTGGTGCCAAAACACCAGAGTTCTTTCCTGTGACAGTCGTAGATCCATTTATATCTATTTCAGAGCTCTAGCAGTGTCCATAAAGATTTATGTTTTCAGAATTATGCATCATATACAAATTTGAGCAATACAAAATAATTAAATTATGAACTAATACTACTTATTAAAGTCAACCTTTCTTGTACCCATATCAGGTAAACCAATAAGTTCACTTTAATGCTTGCCTCCCCAGCTTCATATACTTATTTTTCCTTCGCTCAATATATTTGTTATATTTATACTTTGGATATACTAATATTTATACATTATACTTTCAGATAATATGCCATTCCTTGAATATAACCTTCACTAATTTTATCTGGTATTCAAATAACCTGTTTTGGGTGCCATTTTGTAAGTGTATCTAAAAGAAAACATATTCAGTACAGCTCTCTATTAGATGCACATCTGCCCATGTTTTGTCTCATGCTACGAGTCCTGAAAATTTTTGCCAGAAATGCAGGAGCTCCTAACTTTCTGTAGTGTGCTGACAACAGCAGGCAGCTGGTAAACGAGGAGAGCAAGTGCTGAGAGTGTAAAGAAGGAGTGATGGAGATAGCCAAACCTAAGCTCATCCATCCGTAGGAAGTTGTCAATGCTGGCGCAATCAGCTAAAGCCAGGTCATTCCCTACCATGCAGCTGCACATAAACAAAGGGGTGGGATGCCCCAGACATGGGCATGTGGACATATAAGGTCAATTATGTCACCAGCATCCCGCCCCAGAATGGGGTACTCCACTGGCTGCAGCTGATTGGGCCAACACTGACAGTTTTCTTTTGGATTCGGATGAGCACAGATTTGGCCTGAACCCAGGCTCATCCCCAATGGAGAGGAAGAGAGGCGGGATGTCCTGACAGTCCACCAGGGGAAAATTAATTTATTATAGGAATTTATATAGAGCCGACAATTGATGCAGCACTTTATATAGATGCATATTCACACCAAACCCTGCCCGTCAGGGGCTTACAATCTAAGGTCCCTACCTCACATGCATACATATGAGGACCAATTTAGACAGGAGCCAATTAACTTTTCATGTCTTTGGAGTGTAGGAAGAAACCGGAGTACCCAGAGAGTACACAGGGAGAACATGCAAACTCCTTGCTGCTGCAAGGCAACCACTATGCAGGGATGACAATGCTACTTGGGATTTCAGTGCAGCAGAGGTGGTTTTGTCAGCTGACTGCATTTCTGGCAGGATCATCAGGTATCTTTCAGTACATGCAGCATTTTTAATATGGAAGGAAGGAAAATGTGCATATATTGGAGAGCTGTGCTAAATATATTTTTTCTTTACCTTTTTAATACATTTATGTATCACACACAAAGTAGGTTCTTTGAAAGCTTAATAAATATGTCTCCATTTTAATAGTGATTTTTTGCTGTGTACTGTTGGGGAGATTTCCCTTTACTTCTTGACCCATAAATGCAAAAGAAAGTGAGAGGAAATCTTAACAAAGTGAGGGAAAGTCCCTTCTTAGACAGTTGTCTTTGGAACAGGTGTCTCCATTTAAAAATGTACCCTCACTTTTGGTGACAGCTGTAACATTTTGGATTTCTAAATACTTTCTGTCCTGGTGGCAATGGTCACGAGGATAAATGAACACAGTTGGATTGATTTACTTAAAGGAGAACTATGAGATGAGTGATTTCCACTCACCTCATAGTTCTAGCCTACCTGTGACAATGAGACTGTCACAGGTCGGCTCAGTAGATCGGGAGGTGAGCGAACACATACCGGGTTCGCTCACATCTCGATCCTGTCACGGCTCTCTGCTGTGACAGGGGGAGGGGCTGGATTCCCCTCTCCCCGCTCCGATCTGCCAGCGCTGACTGGCAGAACGGATGGGGGAGGGGGCGGGTACAGATGGCTCTGCCTCTAGATAGGCAGAGCCAGCTGTCACTCACGCAGCTGGGCGGATCCCGACGTCCATGTCGGGATCCGCTCCGGCTGCGGCGTCTCAGTATACCGCGAGCTGTAGCTTAGGGTAACGGGAGGACGCTAGTTTGTGTCCTCCCGTTACCCTAAGGAGAACTATGGGGAAAAACACTGACCCGATAGTTCTCCTTTAAGGCAAATAGGCTGTTAACTTTGCCAGGAACTTTTCCTTTAGCTTAGTGAATGAGGTGAAGTTCCAGTGACTTCAATTATCCAATTATGTGCAGGCAATAATAATGTTTTTGTTTTTTTTTTAATTCCTTGCACATTATTGGGTATTCTTTTTAAAGTAAATTTTCACCACATTCACTAAGCTAAGGAAACATTCCCTTGAAAAGTGCAAATCAACCCCAGCAAATGTGCACAGCTGGGACAAAGACAGCAATAAAAGCTTACGAGGGTTCTAAGCCTTCTGCACTCTATCCAAAACTAAATAAAAAAAATGGCATACATACATTTTAACTTCATTGGTCAGAATACCTCATATGTGCCCCTGTCTAATTTTGTTTCACTTTGCTAGTGGATCCTGCATTTCCCTTACTTGATGGCTAAGCTCCATCAACTTTCATCTCCCTCTCCAATGTAAGAATGAGAGTGCTCTTACTGGCCACTGAGTTAGTCTCTTTGGATGGTGTAATTATGAGGATTAGACATAAATTCGGGGATAGCCAGGTTTGGTAACAAAATAAAGCCAAATACAAGAGGGGGACAGAAGAGGTTTTGCTGGCTAATATAGGTAAAAGACGATATCTTGTGTTAGTGTCCAGTGGCTTAGTGGTTAGCGCTTCTTCCTTGCAGCACTGGGGGTCCTTGGTTTGAATCCCAGCCAGGGCACTATCTATGAGGAGTTTGCATGTTCTCCCTGTGCTTGTGTGGGTTTCTTCCAGGTACTCCAGTTTTCTCCCACACTCCAAAGACATACTGGAAGGTTAATTGGCTCTTGTACACATGCATGTGAGATAGGGACCTTACATTGTAAGCTCCTTGAGGGCAGGGACTGATGTGAATGTGCAACTATGTAACACGCTGTGTAAATTGTTAACGCTATATAATTAACTGTAATAATAATACTCTTATACAGTGCTTTCACTTATTGAAGTATAAAATAGAGTACAATTTAGATGCTGATCTATGCAAATCAGAGTGGAGAAAATAGAGCTGTTCCCACAACAATTTTTCTTAACCAGAAATATTAAAGACAGACTCTGATTGTCTCTTGGCAATTCATTTATTACTCCGTATATAAAATGTGACTTCCTTCAGCTAGTAGACATCCTCTTATTCCTGTACTGCAAAGGAAGAATCCAGTTATTTGATGTAAGGAAATATAAACAATTCTTAATGTAGATAGTTTTGGGTCTATTTATAACCAATTCAAAGAGCTTAATTGTTCTGTGTATTAGTTATAAATAGACCCCTTTGCTAAATCAAGTCCATTATTCTCAATTTCCAGTAGTTTAATTCTGCAACAACTTCATACAGGAACCCCTTCTTTGGCTGATTTTTTTGCTCAGCATTTCATTTATGAGTTTCACTAAACGTAATCGGTTGTATTGATAACGGTACTAACACCAACATTTTTCTGTTACAGATTGCAGCATAGACATTACAGTGTCGGTTGACTACTCAAAAAGAATTACACCATCCACTACATCTGTTCTGCAGAAAAAACTTAACCGTTTCCTCCCTGAAGTGTTACAGCATATTTCTACCATGAGCAACCTGAGCTGTACATCTGGGTCACCATTAAACATACAATTTAGATATGCAGTTCCCAGACAAGATTTCACATTTCACTTTGAATCTGATTTTGAAAAATATAATGAAGACATTCTTAGGAAGTTCATTGAAGTCCAGTCAACAGTTGACAGCTTTTTAAATGTCCAGTTCCTAGAAGCACTTTGGCGGAAAATGAAGACTTTGCCTGAGCAGAAGACAAAAGTGAGTATAGCTTTATTAGGGCTGTTTGTACATTATTCAAAGTGAATCTAACAGTTACGTTGGGGAGATTTCCCTTTAGATAAATTCCTCATATGTAACGATATTATGATGAATAACAGATGAAGAAATAAATGAGAACTATTCATGAGTCATAAGACTATAGAAAGGTCGTGTACTTGCATACATCTTGTTTTTTTCTGTGGGTTGCTGAAGTATATTTTTTAATGAGACGTCTATATTTTTCTAAGTATTGCATATGTCTATCTGTGACCAGTGCCGAAGGATGGGAGGGCTGGCCAACTGGCGGTTTAGGCATAGTATAAAAAATATTCTCAGTACATTGTTAATAGTCAACAGTATAGCAAGAAATGTGTTTTTCAATACTTAAAGCAACACAAAACCCTTAGCAGTTTTCTCCTCATACACATCTACACAATGAACATTCTCCAAAGCCACATTTATTTATGTTTTAAAATAAAATCTTATGATTTGAATCCCTTTATAAAGACTGCTGTGCTGTCTCTTCTCTCCAGGCGAACTTGGTGTCCCTTTGTAAGAGGCGGGCACGTTGATTCTGGTCACTTGCACATCTTCTTTACCTACAACTCCCATGAGGCAGAGAGGAATCATCTCTCGCTGCGCACAACTGTCTCCTCCACCTACCCCTTCCTCTCCTCACTAAACACATTGGGGGAATTTATCAAAGGGTTTGCGACTGTTTTCTTACAGTTGCATTTTGTAAATAATGCTAAATGAGCGCAAATGATTGCGTCCTTTTTCCACCACCACTGCGACACTTAAGTATTTGCGACCATATTGATACAAATAGCGACAAGACACATAATAAGCACACTTATGTCAGATCTGCGATAATTCTCTGAAAATTTACACAGAACAGTCACATGTTAAGAAGAACTCAGGAGGACTTCTTAAAGAAGTGCCGGCGGTGGTATCCTGTCATAAAATTATTTTCACTCCTTCTTTAACTCCTTCCTGTGAAAACAGCTCAATATATCCTTCCCCTTTCTGTTTAAACTTTGACTTCCCATGTCAGTGACTGGTATGTGAAAGGGTTAAAGAGAGTCAAAGGTTATGCTCTTGTAGTTCGGAGAAGCCATAAACTGTGCACTGGCACACAGCAAGAGGAGATATTGTCCGCATTTGCTTCTTCCTATTGTAACAGTTGCAGAGACTGGATTAAGAGCTCATTCAGTGATCAAATGATACAAAGTAGAAGAATCTTCCCTGTTGGCAATGTCTTCCCATCTCATAAATATGTCCATTATTTGTTTGTCCTCCATGTCAGAAATCTTCCTTCTCTGTGCTTCTGTCACTCATAAATCATCTCTCAGCTGCTTCACACTTTTTCAGAAAACATTTCTTACTCTCATGTAACCCCCATCTTCCAAATCTTCTCTCGTCTCTCACATCCTCATTCATTTCTCTCTATGTTATCCCCCTCCTTCTCCTCCCCAGTCTCCCAAAGCCTCTCTCATAAAGCACTCTCAACAGTCGCACTTCTAAAAGCTCTCTACAACCAAAATAAATAAACGCGCGACCTGCTGTTCTATTACACATTCATGAACCAATTTAACACAAGATTAATAATTCAGTAGCACATTGCGGCCAAATTCTGTGTTGCAGCATGGTTTATTGTTGCAGCATATATGACTACAATGATAAATTCCCCCCCATAGAGGGGAATTTATCAAAACTGGAGCAGACAAAATCTGGAGCAGCTATGCATGGCAACCAATCAGCATCCACCTTTCATTTTCAAAGCTTAACTGAACAAAGTGAAACGAGAAGCTGATTGGTTGCAGTGGGCAATTGGTCCAGATTTTGTCTGCTCCAGTTTTGATAAATTCCCCCACTGTGACATTTTCACTGCTTGTAATCCCCTCTGCAATGCTCTGAATCATCAAAACTACTTACAGCAGATCTACAACAAATATCAAGTTTACAACAAATCTACAACAAACATCAAGTTTACAACAATCTACACAGAAAAACAACTTTATTTCAAATGTAGGCGCCGTATCCTCTGTGAGTATGTGACCAGATTCAGCATGTGAGCTGACACTCAGAAGAATGTACAAGCCTGGTGACAGCTCACATGCTGAATCTCCTCACAAGCAGCTCCCCCCATACTCCCTCCTTGGTAAGCCAGGAGGAGAGAAATCAAAGAACATATATTAGTGTGGGAGAGCTGAAAAAATCCCAGCTCCTGACAGAGTCTAAAGGGTAGGATTTGTGGGCTGAGACTGAAGACACATCCTCAGCATGTTGTAGTCCTTCACTTGAACGAACACAGAGGGTGGCTACTTTTCAGCTCCCATAGGGACCATGGAGAAGAAAGTAGACACCGTCTGGCAGGAAGTTGTGGCTGGAGAGAAATAAAATGGATTTTGGAGCATTTAGGGCCCATTCACACCACATCCAGATCATCTCCAGACCAGACCAGATTGTTTCCGGACCCAAAATGCACCCTAATGTATCCCTATGCTCTTTCTGGCCTCTGTTCACACCAGCGCAGTCCATTCCAGACCAGACCAGAAAAATACTGCATGTCTCATTTTGTCTGGTCTAGAATGCACTGGAACTGCAGGCAGGTTCACACCATTTTCCGAACCAGATCTGGTCTGGAAAATGGTGTGAACCTACCCTTAGAGCTGAACAATTGACAAAAAAGGTACATTTATTATTTATATAATAGAATTTTTATTATTAAATTTTTGAGTTTAGCTTCACTTTAATATATGCTTTTTCACTGCTAGCCTTGCTGCTGGTAATTATACTATACAAGATACATTCATGGAGCAAAGTCCAAAGAATCCATTGAAAGACAACTGTGCATAGAGATGAGTTACACAAGGGAAGGCAGTGGTAAGCTCCATTATCAGATTATCTGCAGTCTCTTAAAATGAAACTAGAACATCCTATTTTTACAGCCAAGAATGGTGCCATCTTAACATCTATTTGAATTGGAGTTGCCAAAGTTCTGCACACAGGTACGACACCAGCCATTTGAGGACTTAAAAGTTTGGTTGAGATCTAAAATAAACACACTGGCAACCTTAACAGTTGGCAAGCCTTAAAAGTACCTGTTTTGGGAAGTAAAGTTCCTCTTTAAGCCAGAGATCCTAGTTCAGTTGGAGCACTCCTATAAAGACTATAATGTATACGTTGTGGCATATTATTGACACTCACTCTCAGATAAAGTCGCACATTAAAATAGCGTATTCATGCTTCTATAGACCCATTTGTAAATAGTTGTCACATTTTATTATCTGTTTATGAGTAGAATTGTACATTGCATGGCTGCAAATCCATTCCCATAACAATAGTAAAACATGCTTTATTTGCAGTTGACAATGTTGTGTCTTCGGTGTGATCTTCCAGTAGTATTTATCACAAAACCTCCCATGCTGGCCATAGATACGTCTATACAAAGGAAAACATTCCCAACAGTTAAACTACTTTGTTTGCAAACTAAACAAATTTATTTTGGAACTTTGGAATCCAACAGCATCTTATATATGGGATGTACATATTCTGAAATGTAAATCATAAGTATTGTAAACATGGAAACAAAAAAGCCTAGTCACTTACTTTTCCAGCAAAACTGCTTAAGTGATTTTACCTTAGTAGACTTTGTCTACTAATTTACTTATATCTGGTGCAATATTACGAGTCAAAAGTAGATTCTATATACCTTTCTTCCCCCATGTTTGCCTATAATAGGAACTTTTAGCATCAAAAGACTAGGCAAGTCTACAAAGGACTGCTACTTTATGATGTAAATGCAACAATTTGTTGCAGAACTTTGCTCGTATTGCCATATAATGAAAAAAATGTTTGTTCCCTGGAGCTCCGATATACCATATATATCCCTTTATGTTTTTTGGGATAGGTCATCCAGGTCATGTAACCAGGAGTGATGAGCGCAAAAAAATGGTAACAGTGTTTTCGAAAGAAAGGGCACTGTAAAAGATGGTTACTGAATAGACCGAGACCTCTATATTTTCTTATAAAAGTATAAACTTTATTGGTTACAAAATATCATGTTCAGCACCTGTTACTCCATTTCCCAAAAATCTCATAAAAGAACAACGTTGTCCGTAGCACTCATACATACATTCTTCCATACATACTATGCGCTCACACAGATTACGGCAATTGATATCTTCAAAATTTCTAAAGGGTAATTCTCCCAATATAACTCTTGGTCCCTCTCGGTACTTTTGTTCCTGCTTTATGAAGATGTGAAGGTTAAAAAAAAGGGGGGATCTGTACTTCAGATCTACTTTAAGATATAGGTCTGACCAGTTTTTTGGCATCTGATACATATAAAGTGTAATGAAATAGGGACTGTTTGTCTATAATTGAGGAAAGGAAGTGTCTATAATTAGTACAATTTAAGACAGAACAATCCACTAAAGTTATGTATATATGCTCTAGTCTCAGTATATCAACCCTTTTTGTTAGGGAATTCGTTAGAGAGTCTCAATTACTTTGCTTTTAGAGTTATTCAAACTTTCCCAATAAAGTGAAGTTCCTCCTGATGTTAGATCTATTCAAGGGGAGACCTGTGCGGGACTGTACTCACAGTTAGCTGTCTCGTACGCCTCCTTTTTTGGGTCCGGGTCTATGGTCATCGTTTATACCTGGGCCATGCAAAAAAATGGCTCAGGTATATGGATGACGTATTGATGGTATGGCAGGGCAGCGAAAATCAACTAAAAGAATTCATTTTAGAACTAAACATCAATAATCGAAATTTAAGACTGACATATAATTCTAGTGATCGAGAAATCCCCTTCTTGGACCTAATGATTGGGTTCGGGACGGGGAGATTGATCACAAGAACTTATAGAAAGGAGACTTCAGCCAATACACTTTTGCATGCAAATAGCCATCACCCCCTGTCACTGAAGCAAGGAATCCCCACAGGGCAGTTCCTGAGAATTAAAAGGAACTGCACAGAACATAGAGATTATGTGATGGAATCAAGATCCCTCTATAATCGCTTCAGACAGAGGGGATATTCACATAGAACCCTCCGGACAAGTAAAACCAAAGTAGGAAAGAAAAATAGAGCTGAGATCTTTAAAGGAAGAAACAGCAAAGAAGGAGAACAGAAAGAGAGGACAGTAAACCATGTGAGAATGATAACACAATATGGGTCAAGCTGGCCAAAGCTGAAACAAATTTTTGAAAAGCATTGGCATATTCTGAATCTATGTCCGACACTTGCTGATATTGTTGGACCCCGACCACTCTTGACGGCAAGGAGAGCCAAAAATCTGAGAGACCACCTAGTAAACTCGGAATATAAACCAAGCAAGAATAGTTTGTTCATGCAAATGCTACCAAAAATAAAAGGAATGTATCCCTGTGGTAAATGCCACATATGCCCATATGTAGAAAAAACAAAACGGTTCCAAGACTCAGGGGAAATAAAATCATATCAAATCACACAGTTTATTAATTGTAATACAGAGAAGGTAATATACATGCTGGAATGCCCCTGTAAGAAAACATACGTTGGGAAAACAAAACGACAGCTACACATCCGTATAGGAGAACACCTAAGGGATATAAAAAATAAAGATATTGATAGTCCCATAGCAACACACTTCGCAGACCATCATAACTCTTCACCAGAAGGCCTGAGGGTAAAGGGGATTTATGCCTTAAACTTCCCACCCAGGAGAGGAGATTTTGACAAAATACTCCTGCAGAAAGAAAAGATGTGAGTATATAAGCTTAACACCCTTTTACCCGCAGGCCTGAATAATGAGATGAATCTCAATGTCTTCCTTTAAAAGAATTTATGTTTAGTCATAATAATAATAACACAAATACCCTCTCTAGATATATATGCCGACTCAAATGATCATATCACTTCCTAAATGACCAACTGACAGCTTTTTATAGATATTTAGATAATGTTCAAATAAAAACATTTCTGCCTGTATGAATACTTTTTGATTGGAAAGAATAGGCAGATCCTTGTATGCTTTTTTATATATAGCTCTCATAACATCTTATCTTGAAACACACATCCTGGATGTAATTACCTAGCAGGTGTGAAAGGGCTAGTTAAGCAAACCACACACCTGCCATCCAGAAGGTGCAGACGAAGCTCCGATGGGCGGAGCGAAACGCGTCCACCCTTGAGTGTGTGTTACACATGCTATGTGACCCACACAAACGGCAGCTCCTTTACAGATCATTTTGATTACTTTGTTTCCTGAACAACGATGATGGAAATTCAAACGTCTCTAAGTTACTAACAAAATTGGACCATCCCAAAATAATTGTGCTGAAGCATCTGAAAACCCTGGGTTATTGGAACAACCATAGACCAACAAGTTACCGAAGATAGTGCTAAACAAAAGCAAACTCCCCGGATCCAAAAAAGGAGGCTTATAAGATAACCAACTAACCTCGCAGAGGTATCAAAAAAACCCTGAGATCTGGAACAGCCACAGACCAATCAATTGCTGGTGACAGTGTTGAACAAACAGAACTTCCCGGACCCAAAAAAGGAGGGGTACGAGACAGCTAACTGTGAGTACGGTCGACTATTATGCAATTCCTACTGGTCCCGCACAGGTCTCCCCCTTGAAGAGATCTAACATCAGGAGGAACTTCACTTTATTGGGAAAGTTTGAATAACTCTAAAAACAAAGTAATTGAGACTCTCTAACGAATTCACTAACAAAAAGGGTTGATATACTGAGACCAGAGCATATATACAAAACTTTAGTGGATTGTTCTGTCTTAAATTGTACTAATTATAGACACTTCCTTTCCTCAATTATAGACAAACAGTCCCTATTTCATTACACTTTATATGTATCAGATGCCAAAAAATTGGTCAGACCTATATCTTGAAGTAGATCTGAAGTACAGATCCCCCCTTTTTTTGTAACCTTCACATCTTCATAAAGCAGGAACAAAAGTATCGAGAGGGACCAAGAATTATATTGGGAGAATTCCCCTTTAGAAATTTTGAAGATATCAATTGCCGTAATCTGTGTGAGCGCATAGTATGTATGGAAGAATGTATGTATTAGTGCTACGGACAACGTTGTTCTTTTATGAGATTTTTGGGAAATGGAGTAACAGGTGCCGAACATGATATTTTGTAACCATTAAAGTTTATACTTTTATAAGAAAATATAGAGGTCTCGGTCTATTCAGTAACCATCTTTTACAGTGCCCTTTCTTTCGAAAACACTGTTACCATTTTTTTGCGCTCGTATTGCCATATAGCTGTTACTGCTGTATGACAAACCAATTATATAATATAGCAAAGAGAAATACTTTTTTCCTGGTATATTTGTATAGTATCTGCTGTATAAAATAGCTAATTGAAAAAATAGCAGATTATGTCCATATATACACAGTATATGTATATATAAATACACTGAAAACTAAAGCTGCACAAATAATCCAAGTGATGCTTGTTCTGTCTAACATATGCTCTTAACGAGATGTCCATGCTTCCCGAAAATGTCTCCATGCAAATGCTATCTGAAAGTTGGTGTTTGCATTGGGTTATGCATTAGTCAACTGGTAAGCCATGTCAGGCTGACCGTAAGAGTATGACATGATCTCATCATCTACAAATTTTGTATTGTGCATTATCACAATGTCACCTATCTGAATGCATATCAATTTCTCCTTGTGCTAAATACATGTGTGTTTTCTAGATCATACTAATTTTTACGGATGGACTCGATGACTCCATAACAGCGCTAAAGAAGACTTCAGAATCCCTTCGCAGGCAAGGTTTGTGGAAATGTACACAAAGATAAACAGAATAAACAATAAGGCTATTTTGGTAGACGTTTTGGTATGAGTACAGGAGATGCGTGACCCTTTAGATTTTTTGCCAGGGGCATGCTGAGCCACTGAACACTCTGCAAGGGACATGCTGAACACACAGAAAACTGTCAGAATCATGCTGAGCACAGAATTCTTTATTTGAGGCATTCTGAGCACAATGTGGACTCCTAACAAACACAGGCCAAATTAAAAATGGCAGTCCGCCAGGTGCATATTGAATCCGCTGATCAACATGGTAGGGTCACACAGATACACTCTGTGTACTCACAGAGACATGTTGAACAACAAACATTTGTGGCAGGATCGTCTGTAAGGTATGGAAATTGAAAAAATATGTGAACAGTGGATATTCTGACACTGATATGCAAATGATCTGTCAGTGAATTGCTGAGCAAATTGGACAATTATTCAGGGTGAGCCATGGGATACAAAAAATGTATTTCTCTCCTATGATCAGACCATGACAAAAACTGTTGAATGTACCTTGTTATAAAATCTTTGAAGGCTGGCGCTTGACCTAGAGCACAAAATAAAAACCTGTAATTCACAGGGGTTGATTTACAGAAGGCAAATAGGATGTTCACTATGCAAGGGAATTTGCAGTTTGCATGGGAAGTTTAGTGAATCGGGTAAGGCTCTGCTGACCTCCATCATGTGCAAGTGACAAAATACTGTTCATGCATTTCACCACATTCAAGTTTCCTCTTTGCTTTGTGAATGTGGTGAAATTTAGTTAGTCAAGAATACTCAATCATGTGCAAGGAAAATAAAAAAGCAGTATTTTTGCTTGCACATGATTGGATGGTGGAAGTCAGCAGAGCTTCACCTCATTTACTAAGCTAAGGGGAAACTTTCCATGCAAAGTGCAAATTCCCTTCAAAGTGACTAGCCTATTTACCAATAATAAATCAACTCCACAGAGTTTTAAACAGTTATGAGGCTCCTTCCATATCACTACACAAAGGAGTCAGAATCAGAGTGAAGATTTTCATTGCTGATATAAGAAACATTTTGTAATTTATCGTAAATATAGGATGAAGGCCATCTTTGAGGGTTGAGGGGTACATATATAAGTCATGATTTTTGTCTGTTGAAATTCTGAGTAAAAAATGATATGCCTAAAAAAAGGCTCTCATTAAACTAGCCTTGGATCCAGAATTATGTTGCTATGTTCTACAAGCCCACAGCAACCAATATCCACCATCTGGTATGAATGATCTCTTATAATGTTAATCATAATATAACAGCAAAACTATTTATGACTTGAACATCCATTGTATTTTATCAGTAAGCCTCAGTGAACATACAAAACTAATATTGCCAAGAAGTCTTTTAAGTGGTTTTCAAACCTTTTCCTGACACACATAGCTGTGCAAGGAAGACATTAGCCAGTAACGAAATCATGTTTATCATATTTTGACAGAATTCACTGTTTGTCATTTTTATGAGCATTTTCTGCTATGTGATCTTTAACCAAAAAGACAAAATTCAAGGTATTTTATCACAGTGGAATGTAATAAAGTGTTATTCAATGAAAGATCCGTTTGGATGCTAAAACATGTTTATGATCAGGAGTTGCTTAAATTGTTGCCTATTCTGTACGGTTTGTGTTTTACACAGCAAATAAAGATGTAATCTATCTTCTTGTTTTCCAGGGTTGGATGGATTATTGTTGGTTGGACTGGAAGGTGTGCCGAATTTGAAAGAATTACAGAAACTTGAGTTTGGACGAGGATTCTCCTACGAACAGCCCCTAAGCATTGGAATTTATGACTTGCCAAGTATTATGCTAAAAGAAATAGTACGTTTAATAACTACATTATATCTGGTTTGTTTAAATTTATTTCTATATTTGCTTTCATAATTATCTAACTTCTATGTTCATTTTGACAGGACACAGTTGCTGAAAGAAAATGCTGCAAAGTAATTTGTAAATGTCTTGGGCAGGCTGGTACTCGTGGCCTTCCTGGTCCTCCAGGTTCAAAGGTAAGATTTCAACTAAATGAATATAAATTTTTCTGAGGGTCATCATGATTCATGGTACATTTTTGTTAAATACAGCTAAGGTAAGCACCTTAACCACTTGCTGACCGAGGTGTTAAACCCCCTTCCTGTCTAGGCCATTTTTCAGTATTCAGCGCTGCAGTACTTTGACTGACATTTATTCCGTCATGCAACGCTGTACTAAAATACATTTTATACAATTTTTTGGGGACACATAGAGCTTTCTTTTGGTGGTATTTAATCACCACTGGGTTTTTTTTTTTTACTATATAATGAAAAAAGTACCAAAAATGTTGAAAAAAAAACTGTTTTCCCTACGTTATGTTATAAAACATTTATTATTACCCAATTTTTTGGTAAAAAATAAAAGATGGGCTCACGTTGGGTAAATAGACACCAAACATGTCAAGCTTTAAAATTGCGTGAGCCAGCAAAATCTAAAAAAAACTATCATACCTAAAATTGGCCATAGTTGATGATTTAAAAGCTTTTAACGCTTTATCAGTTTAGTGTTATCAGTGATTGATGGCCCTAAAATTATTGCTCACACTCTGCCTGCCGTTTGCGGCGATATGTAACACATGTGGTTTAATTGTTGTTGTTGCACGTAGGCGTAACTGACACGTATTTACGTTTATATGTGCATGCAAGCGCACGGGGGCGTATTTTTTCTTTTCTAATGTAGTTCTCACCCCCGAAGGAGCTGCTGATTGCCCGGTTCATTTCTAGTCTGTCTAGGGTATGATCTTCAGCTGCCCACCCATTAGCACTAACCGCCCTTCTTCTGGTGCCCATTAGCTAATGTCCACTCCTGGAGTAAAATGCTAAGTAAATGTTTTATTGAACATCTTCACTGAGGAGAGAGGGTATAGGGATTCTAAGCCTTCAAGGGTAACCAACAGGAGCTCCAGACTCACCAGACTGTAGGTATATCAGTGTAGATCCACTTGGGGGGCAGCGGACAGCAACTGACCTAGCAGATAGGCAGGATGGATACGGATCCTCAAGCAGGAAAGACACCGACCATGCTCCTGAAGTCCACTTAGTTCCAGGGCACTTCAAGAGCCTAAATTGGTCCCGGTTCTCTTCCTCTTTCAGCATCCCAGGCCTCCTCCATGTTGGAGGCCTCAGGGAAACCGTTCCCTCACACCAGCCCATGCCCACCCCCAGGCCCCGAAGCCACCTGATGTACGGCTGATTTCAGCTGTACCAGCCTGCAGTGAATAGCCGAACAGGCTCACTTCGCTTTAGGTCGGTCATTCACTCGGCTGCCTATGGTAGCTTAGTGAATAGACCCTTATGTTTCCTGGAAGATACTGATGATTATTGTAACTGAGACAGAAAGTGAGGGGAAATCCAAAATTTTACAGCTGTCACCAGAATTATAGGTAAGGGGAAATATTCCATTGTGGGCACCTGTTGTGGTAATAACTGTCTAAGAGTGGAATTCTTCGTAGAGATTTCCACTCACTTCCAGGTGCATCTCCTGAAGTGATGTGAAATTTCCCTAATGGGACTCAGGCACCAAACAAAAATAAATGATATGGCTTAACCCCTCCCCACTCTACCAAAACTAAAAACAAAAACTATACTTTAACCAGTTGCCGTCCGCCCGTAGTAGAAAAACGGACGGACGGCACTGTCGCATTGGCGGGTTGCCGTCGCCAGACGGCATTTTTTTTCTGCTCGCGCGCGCCCCCTAGCGGGCACGCACGGACAGAAAAGACCCGTCCAATGCGAACACCCGGTACCGGGTGTTTCACATATGAAAGAGTATAGAACCTGTCATTGACCAACTTCTGCTACATATGCTAGTTGCCTGGCTGTCATGCTGATGCAATGGCTACAATACTTTTTGTGGCACACACCTGGAAAATTGTGCCGATAATTACATTGCTACAACTACAACTTTGGAACCTGCATGCTTGTTTGGGGTCAGTGCTGCAAAGTAATGAGACAGAGAAAAATATGAGGGTTGCCATGGCAGAACTTCTTCTTAAAATGCTAGCTATATACCTATCTCTGCGTTCATTACTTTAAGACACCTAACTGGAAAAAAGTGTGCAGATCAGGAATGTGAGAGTGAAGTCAGAGCTTTAAATCTGTTTAAGGCCGAACTCTGATTAGCTTTTAAAAATCTGTTTTTTTTTTAGTTTCCCCCAGCTTATAGTAAGGCTCTAATACTCATATGGTCTAGGGGGATTAAAATGGGAATGCTTACGTTATTCCTTACTCTTCTGGCAGCCAGTGCTTTGCTCTGGCCATGCAATGTGAGTGCCCCCTCAACAGTCTCACATACAATGCCGATTATTTAGTCCTGTATTGTACATCATGAGTTTGATAAAGGGTCAGCCTCACACCTGGTGATGAGGAGTGGCTTACTGAGGCAGGTTGTCTGGTGGAGAGTGAGATTGTGGAGTGAGATTGTGGGATTAAAAAATAAAGCAATTCATTACCTGACTTGAGTTTAACTTTAAGGCCCATGACTGAAGTACTGTACCCATTGGATCAGACAGGTAATTATTGTTTCCAGTAATTTGAAATAGACCTATTGACCTACAATACAGCTAGAACTAATTCCATTAATTCAACCTAGACTCAGATGTTATCCCATTGCTTTGATTTACTTTAGTTGAAATGTTCATCCAAATAAAATAAATCTAGGCAATGTAGAAATTACACACAGAACAAGTGTACCTGCCATGCACTCAGGTTAGTAATGTTTTATTTGTCACGGTTGCATATTTAAGCACAAAGGATTTTATATGACACAGACAAAACACCCGGTTTGCAGTTTTCTTGTTCCAGATTATTGGCTGGTTTTGCTCTGTTTGGAGAGTTTTATTCCCAAACTGCACATATTTATTATGTTCTGCATGCGGATGTGTTGTGACCTGCTAACTCATTGCAGCTGGTTAGTGTTTATCTGCAGTGTAGTACAATTAGATTACTGAACTTATATTACATTTATCTTGTAACATTGCACATGTCTGTTAAATCTTCAAGCATTTAACCAAAGATAAGTATGTAACCATGAAAAACACATCCAGATGTTCTTTGTCTACAAACATAGATACAGTACTAAAGGGTCTATTCACGAAGCTGCCAAAGGGTCTGGCCGTAGCTTCGGCCGATCCTTCGGCTAGCTTCGGCCCCAGGACCCCTTCGGTTCAGTAGAGCCGAAGGGGTGCTGTACGGGCTATTCACAATAGCCCGTACAGCTCCCGATCATGGCCGAGCGGCTCAGCCGAGCCAAACGCATATAATCGTGTCAGAATAAAGAGAAAAAAAAGACACATCAGTGCTTCTCTCCTGGGCGGCCGGGAGCGGGAGGCTCCCAGAGCGCCCGGGAGAGTTTTTTCTTTTTCGTTTTTTTTTACAGCGGCAGAGCTGCCGGACAATAGGAAACTATTGGGCGGAGCTAGCTGTCACTGCTAGCTCCGCACAATCGTTTGCTATTTACTTTTTAAACTTTTTTCACTGTTTTTCTGTTCTGCTCGGTACCTCGGCTGAGTCGAACTCCTTCTGCACTTCGGGTCGGCCGAACATGCTGAGCATGTTCGGCTGACCCGAAGCCACACGAAGCAAGCCGATGTACGGCTGATTTCAGCCGATGTACGGCTGAAATTAGCCGTACCAGCCTGAAGTGAATAGCCGAACAGTGTTCGGCTCACTTCACTTCAGATCGGTCATTCACTCGGCTGCCCTCGGCAGCTTCGTGAATAGACCCCTAAGTATTTTCTAAAGTATTAGGACTCTTGTCATACAGTTCACAATGTACTAGGCTGGTAAGAATATTGTTAAAAGGGGGGGTTTGAACAATTAAACAATTACTTAAAGCTAAACTCTTGGCACCAAAAATGTCAGTTTCAATAAAATGGATTTCAATGTATTTTCAATCGCCACATAGAAAACCCTCCAGCTTGTGTGAAAAGTACTGGGGACATCATCAGCAGACTCCATATAGCCTTTGGAAAAGAGCAGAGCCGTGGATGGATCAAAGGGGTCCACCTACTACAGACTGTAAGCAAAAAAACAACAGGGGTGATGGATACAACACCAGTCACCATGCACCATGAGGGAGGGCAGAAGTGACCAATCTTTGCCTCTGTGCAGGAGTTTTCAGTGACAAAGACTGGTCACAATTCAGCAAGAAATAACTTCTGCACTTTACCTCTGTGCGGGAGTTTTCAGTGACAAAGTGCAGAAGTTGTTCCTTGCTGAATTACCGCATCAATCTGGAAAAGAAACACAAAGGACACCTATATTCCAGTAGGAATGCACATAGCTTTTGTATTTGGACAATACAGTATATGCCTACCTTGGAATTAAAGCTTAAAAAGGTTTTGAGCGTTAAAGGGTTTATGATTGGCTGGAATGCCGGCTTCCTGGCCAATCAGCATTGAGCCGGCCAATTCATTTATGATGACATTAACTAAATCTGTGAGCTGAATTGGAGACTTATTCCAAATCAGCTATATTGGCCTAGATTGTTCACTTCTCCAAACTCTTCACCCTTTTGTGAATAACCCCCTTAGTGAATTCTTCAGTAATAGAGATCATAGAATATGTAGCTAAGTTGTGATTACAGGCTTTACCAGCTGGTGAAATATTACATATTCTAATCTACATGAAACAGATGTGGTAAAGTAATAACCAAGGATGTTTCAGACAAGTTTCTATACTGGGAAGTTTTCAGTATGAGTCTAGTTTAAGTTTAGAATGGAAAATCCAGTTAATGGCTGCAATAATTGACAATATATAGCACTTTAACTGTTTGCTTCAGAGTAGATAAGCTACTACAGGCTAATTCAGTAAGAAGGTTTAAAGAGCGGAGCAGAAGTGATAAATACATTACTCGTTTGAAGCCTATCAAACATTAAAATGTGTGTTTGACGTTGTCTTTAAAGAGGACATTGCTTTATGATGACATACAAAAAAATTATAAATCACTCCATGATTACCTGACTTTTTCTTTGTTGCATTCTGAAGCTTCCATATTTGAATATTTTGAAGGTGAATAGGGAGACCTTGTGCCCTTGTTCCATTAGCCTTTACTGCCTCTGTGGTTCACTGAAACTTTAGAGCAAATTACAAATTGTGATAAGAGATTCAAGAGCTTGGAACAGACAGGGCCAGACTCTTTACACCATAACATTAAAAAGGTTATGAATTGCAATTACTTTATAGAACTGAGCAGGCATGTGGATTCCTTAACATGTATAGTTTGAGACCAACTTTGATGTCTGTCCCATTTAAATGTATGAACAGATAAAGTGTATTGAGTTTTTTTTTTTTTTCCTTAGGGACGATTTGGTGAAAAAGGATCCCAAGGACATCCTGGGGAAGAAGGCGGAACTGTAAGTAAAATCTGCTACATCTTTATTTTTTAGAGTAGTTTAGTAAAGGAACAATTATCCTGTACAATAAACATAAATTTAAATAACTCAATGTTCTTCTAAGAAGCATAAAATACGCAACATTTGTGTATTCACTTTATTCCAACAAAGCTTGGATATAAGTCTAAAAAAACAAGTCACGCCACATTGGGTTTGACATTTGTTTGGTTAAATGCAAAACTTGGTACTGCACAGAGAAATTTTCTTAAGATTGAAGAGGTGGGCTAGACAGTTACAAGTAACCAGCAATAACACATACAGTAATGTATGTAGATATAATGATAGAAATAATAATGATGTTACTAATGATAATAATAAAAAACATTGTTGTTAAATGTAGCTGTTGTTATTTGCCCAAAACTGCTTCTGGAATTTTCTCATAAAATATGAAATTAAATACTAAAATGTTTTATGTTATTTTCGTTATCTTGTTTGTACTATTATTTCTGTGCAAGTTTTTTAATGTATTTACTATTGTTAGAGGGGAATATTTAAACTATACTGTTAGTTAGGGTTCGTTTTTAGTTATCTACATTTTCAAAACACAGAGCATTTAAAACAAGTACATGCTCTTAAAATATACATTAACCCCACTCCCTAGTCTTCCCTAGCCATCCTAGCCTTCAGGAGCTTAACAACACTAAAAGCTTCCACACGAAAATTATTTATTTTTATTTTTGTTCTCTTTTTACCAGTGTTAAGCTGGCCATACACCTTACAACCATCGCAAGACAAAAGTCTTGCGATGGTTGTAAGGTAATTAAAAAAACGTACAATCTGCCCATCGTGGATAGGCAGATCGTACTTGCGATAATCGCGAGCCCGCCCCGCCGAAGGGCGGGCTTCCGATGACTGCAATGCTGAAGGGGCAGTGTGCGCTTGCGCACACCGGCCCGTTCGGCATTTATCTTTTACAAGCAATCGTACGATTCTCGGTGGGTTTTCAAACATGTTCCTAAGATAAAAGTCTTCCACACACCTTGCGATTATCATACGATCGCTGGGTTTCCCGCGATTATCGTACGATAATCGCAAGGTGTGTGGGCACCTTTAGTTTTAAAATACTACAAGCAGTGAATCTGACATTCACCAAACATTCGCTGCAAGTCAATCTTCCAGATACATGTGTTTTAAATGGTAGTGATTGATTTTATCACCAGTGAACATTTGGTGATTGTTATGTTCACTGCTTAGCATTACAGTAGATACAAAATGTGATATTAATAACAAATGGGGAAAGGAGAAGCGCCTCAAATAACAATAAAGTGGACAAAAAACTCCTGGGTTCCAGCGTCAATCTATAATAAGCAAAGTTCCCCGAAAATACGGAATCCCAAAATAGGAGCTGTCTATAATAATCAAACAGGTAATGATAATGTAACAAAATTTTAATGAGAATTAATAATAAAAGTAGAAAAACATATAAATACACCTACTGACAAAGAACATCTAAAATCAATTAAAATGACAAACAAGTCCTCCCTGATATCGCCCTGTGTTGATTGATGTAGATGAGAATCTAGTGACCGTTAGTGATGGTCACAAAGAGTCACTGATATTGGACACAAGCGCTGTGTTAGGCAAGCAAATACTCAGTATCAAAGAAAAGAAAAAGAAGGAATTACTCACTTCTGATGTGGTTTAGGTGGTGAGACAATTCCTAACAAAAAAGACTTCAAGCATGCATGAGGTAATGGTCACAATGGCTGTCCCAGACTGCTGGTCCCTGGTTTCAGCAACTTTATTTTCCTGTATGTTGGTATAATTGCTGCGAGGCCTGCTGTGGATCCTCCATGTCGGCTCCTGCCTATGAAGTGGTATTCAGACCTGTGTTTGATAACAAAGCTGGAAAGTTGTATTCCATATGTGCGGCCGCACTAACGAATGCAGTTGAATGGAGATCCACGAGGAGTGTAGTTTTCTCTTAGTGGGTCCAGTCAGCATGGATTTAGCCAAAGAGGAGTGAACAGATAGTATTCAGAGTGAAGGTAGTACTGTCAGATCCACCATGATTTGGTTGGTTTGCTTTGCCATCAGTGTCCCCAAAGGGATCCCGTATATCCAGCAGAGTCTGCAGAGTAAAATCATGGGCACACAGGGAGGGCTGCACACACGTTTAACCCTAACGTTTCACCCCTACACACAGGGGCTTCCTCAGAGGGACGTGTCAAAAATTTGATATTATTGTATTATTTGTTCCATTTTATGACATGTAAATTACATTAATGGCACAAAACACTGCAAAGTTATTTACAAATAGAATTAAATTAGGTATTTAAGTCATTTTTTCACACTTACAGCCATCATGTTTCCAAAAAGGTTTTAATGTTGCTCTAACTGACATCATATGCTAAGTAAAGATGACACTTTTAATCTAGGCATGAATAAATAATACAAATAATAATAAAATAGTGTTGTTACTCAGTAGAGCTTCCGAACACTATTTGAAAGCTTCACTTTACACAATGATGGCTGCAGGTGCTGCTGTGATTTGTTGGCAATAGCAGAGGGGCACTTCATTGAAGTTTTTTTTAGTTTTGAATGGTAAAGGAAAGGTTTAGAAACTCTGTTGGATTTTATTGCTGTCTGGGGCTTTCTTGAAGAAATGTAATTTCACCTCCTGTCCTAATAACTATACAGGAAGTGAGGGAGAGTCTCATTAACAGGTACACAGACACAAATAAAAACCTGACAGGGATTTTAACACTTCTTCATTCTACTAAAATAGGTGAAGAATTAAACATGAATGTATTTGAATTAAATTCTGACATACTCAGTTGTAGTATGTAAAGAAGCAGCAGAATAATAATGCAGGCCAACACAGGTGCCTTCATGTCAGTTGTCCAAAGGTGCCCATGTACCCTCTAAACCTGGGGTGCTGTATCATGCAACTTTTAACTTCCATTACAAAGACTCCACTCTGCCTCTGGCACCTCTCTCTTGGCCAATGGCATTTCCAATTGCAGGGATTGGCCAGTGGTGATACACAGGAGGAGAAAGGGATGAGGCTGAACACTGTGCTCCTAAATAAAGTTAGTTTTACATTTTACAGTGTTCTAGATAGCTCCATAACTTAAGATATGTGCAAGTACCCCTTGCAGGGAAAAAAATAGTATTACTGGTGTGACGGACCGCCTGGTACCCCGACTGGGTACCTCCGCCAAAGAGCGTCTCCTGCCCCCAAACCCCACTCTCAGCCAGCGGATTTGCAGTAACCAGCCCCTAACCCCCAATCACGAGGCAAAACTCATGTTGAAGGTTCAACATAGAAAGAGCAACTCCTTTATTAAACAAAGGACATTCACTTTTGAGACACTGGGAGGGCTACAACCCCTCCCCTCCCTTCCCCCTCATGACAAACACAGATAACAGGGAATCAGACATTTACATACACAGTCACAGTACAATAGGGTGAGCATCAGATAACAGGTGAGGGGGGGGGGAAGCTATGCAACTTCTACACAACTGACTTCACTTAATTAAGTCTCCATTTTGAATAGACAAACCATGTGGCCAAGTCCTTGTCCTCCACCATTTTAAAACATATATTTCCCAGAGGGCAACAGTCACTGTCTGCATATAAAATGTACATCTAGCCCCAAAATCTCCTGTTCTCTTGCTGGGCCATAATCGGTGGGTAAGAGGCCAGTCTGCAGCCCCCTCCAACTAGCACAGTGACGGTGCAGTCCGTCACAACTGGATCAGTTAATATAGTCACTGACAGATTATTTGTGATGATACATGTTTTTTTATTTAGTCATTTTCACAAAGCAGAGATCACCTTGTTCACTTCATATAGTCTTGAATTATTTATAATTCATCCTTTACAATCCCCTTTTAGCATATACAGCATGTATTTAGCAAAAATGTGTACAACCAATCATGGCAAAGTCATGTCACACTGTGTGTGTGTCAGTTGGTTGTTTTGGCACAGACCAAAAGATCTCATTCCTTCCCTAATTTGAACATGTTAAATGTTCTCGTATTGTACTGTGTAATATTTTCACGCCATGTTTAATAAAGTCACATACAAAATTGAGTTTTTTTTTATAGTTTATGAAACTGGCTCTAAACATTTTAGAGCAGGGCAGTCATATTGTCCAAATATGCCCCCTAGAAATTATGTATAGATATGTGTGAACTAAACCAAGTTCTCTTTGAGGATGTTTGCTGAACACTAAAAAAATATATCTGCAAACCCCGAATACAGCACTCAAACCTCATTGATGTCTATGGGAAACAAATCTTGTAATATTTTTCTTGCCTTTTTCAAGGTCAATTTGCAAGCTTTCATTAAAACTGTGCACGGATAGCTGGGCACTGTCGTGGGGGACATGTACCGTGATGCCAGCCATATTTGGTCAATGATGTCACCTGTCATACTTGACTGGTTTGTAAACATTCTGGGGTCTGGTATGGATTATAAAAAGGGCGATCCCATGCAAAAAAAACAAAAAGTTGGCATAGGGCTCCCAGATATCATTCCTTCCCCCTCTAAATGAGAAAAGGGTGCATAGTAAAATAAATGTGAATAGTAGAAAACAACACCCACACTGTAGAACAAATATTTTATTTTTTTAAAAAATGTCAAAAGTCCAACAATGCAAATCCAATGTCAGTGCAAATCCAGCAATGTAGATGTAGCAGACTTACCCGTCCCTCGCTCCGTGATCGGTGCAGGCTTCCACCACGTCATTGCGGACATCACCAGGCCCCTCCTCCTCTGTCTTTTTAAGCTGCAGGATTCAATTCCCCGGCGTTCGAGCAAGGGAGAACACACCCGGAAATACCGCTCCTACCCCACACGCTGAACCTGCCTTATACCTGTCTCACACCTGCCTCAGACACCCTGATCTCTGCAGACTCTGAATATTGCCTCAATATCAAACTTCACTCGCTTGACAGAGTTACTAGATTGTATTTCCTGCATGCCAGTTCTACCATTGTGGAGCAGCACCCCTGACTGCCTATTGGGGTTACATTGCACTTAGCATCCACAGAGATCATTCACTACAAAGGACTCTTAACCAGGCAAGTCCAAGTTCCAGATTGATTGCCAGCGCAATACTTCTAAACCGCAAGTACTAAATTTACCAAACGGAATACCAAATGACTGTCTATGAAATATTCCCCCTGATATAAAATATCCTCTCACTGTTCTACTATCAAGTTGATTGCATGTTGAATATTCCTGATTGAAACTGCTTATTTATCCATCTGCATTACTCAGTATGTGTGATACTCTTCCCGCACTTGCAATCTGTTAGCCTGTGATACACTTCCCGCGCTTGCATTCTGTTAGTCTCCAGGGAAGCTGGACATAGCTCATTGCCTAAAGCAAGTAGAACCCCTCCACATCACATCCTCACTGTGAGTCATCACACACAGGAGTGCCTCGTGTGTTACAGAAGATCCATAATCAATTACAATTAACAAAGCCTTGATGACCTGCTAACACAAACACGGTGACCTACTGAGCATCCTCTCCTGCCAGACTCCAGTCACAAATGACAGCCATCCATCTGGCTGCGGAATGTCAGCAAACTGGCTGGAGATGATAGCTAACATCACTGACCATATACTGTAGGGTCATAATCGTATTTAGTCAATGGCGTCACCTGAGATGTCTGCCGCCTTGTTAACTATTTGAGCTGGTGCTCTCCATAAATGCTACCGCCATTAAATGAATGGGTTGATGCTTTCATATTTGCAGATAGATAATATAATTGTATAACATATTTAACAATAAGAAGAACATTATAACTTTTTACATGGAGGAATTTGTGGCAAATCAGCAGTTTTGTTCCCTGCTTCCAACACTGCTCGATGTTATTCAGCATTACATTAAAAAATATTTCTTAAAACGGGACGGTTTAACAATCACATTGTTTTTTTGTAGTTTGTGAACTGCCTCATATCAAAGTGGTCAATTTGAATAGATATTGCAAATGATGTTAATATTAATAAGAATTATAAAAGAAAAATTACATATCTATGCACATTGTCCAACTTACTCTCTTGGTTAGGGTGACAGAGGGCCACATGGATTGAATGGAACACGGGGAGAAGATGGATGCCCAGGAGCCAGAGGACTAAAGGCAAGTCTATGGTTTTACTGGCTATGCAAAATATGTATTATTACTGTATTATCTATGCATCTTATTGCATTGCACACTGCACAATGTAGTCATCTTTAAGTATAGAAGTTAGACTCAAATCTCTATGCTCCCATCAATATCTGGTACATATTTGTTGGACCTTCTTATGAAATTATAGGTAAAACATAAGCAGCCACGGAATTTTACCAAGAAGTTGCTAAATACATTTCTCTACATAGATTTGAAAGAATGTGAACACTTAGTCAGGTTAACATAACAGAATCAGGAATTAAGAAGAAACAGTATTCACAGGAGATATGTATAAATTTTTTATAACGAAAAAAAACAACCCTTTAGTAAATATGCAAGTATGAACAAGTATACTTGCAGTATTAGGGCAAATAACTCACTGTCTTTGCTTCTGTTCTGGCCAAGTAGCTCTGGGCTTTCTCTGGCTGCTTCACAGCCACCAGTGCGGTTTCCTGCTATACCCATAATCAACACCTTCTTCCTATGTCTAAATACCAGCCTGTAGATGATGCAAATCACATATGTAAGAGACACCGAATCCCGGCAACAGGCATCTTATACAAACACTCCACTATGCATGTGCAAGAGGCAGTGGGTTAGAAGATGAATACTAGATAAGCAAGATATTTTTTTAAGGTTCAGAGGCATAAAAGCTAACAGGAATTAGCACACTGGACAAAGTTTTGTTTTTAAGTGAAAGTTATAGTTTTAAGTGGATTTAAAGCCACAGTAGGTCACCAGGGCATTTGTCATAATGTGCAAGCGTGCACAGCAAGTTACAAATGCTGAACATGTACAATGTACTGCAAATACAAAAGTATTTTTGTCCTTCTTTTACTCTTTGTTCATCCATCCTAGCAAGACCAATAACAGTAACATTTTAATTAGGCTTCATTCAGATGGGACATATACATGCGTGTGGCATGTACGCCCCTAAAAGGGCCGATACTGGGAGGGTTAGGTGCTGCATGTAATTGCACGCAGCAGCCTGTTGTATGCTGTCATCCGTACACTTGACCTGTCACACGCGGTGTGCATCCAAGTGCGGGCACCTGGACCCGCAAGGGTATGTGGAAAACATAGGGGATAACAGGCTGCTGCTTGCAATTACACACAGCACCTGTCCCTCCCAGGATTGGCCTGTTTACATGTAGGCCCATCTAAATGAGGCCTTAAGGTCCACTTTAGAAAAAGAAAGAATTGAGTCTGCTAACTCTGCAATTCTTTGAATGAATTTCACATAGAAGAGCTTCCAAGTCTATGCGCTGTTCAAGACTTCAGCAGAAATGTTAATAATATTTATACGTAATTTGAAAGCATGATCCCTACAAAATAGGGATGCATATGGTAAAGACATAGGTGGACCATACACAAGTTTCTGTGATCAGTCCATCAGGAAAAAAATTAGACAACTTTATACCCATAGAGACTGTTCTTTTTGCATACACGTCTTTTTGCATAATCAACAGATATCAGAAGAAATGACCAAAACTTTGACAGCCATCGGATTAAGGTCCTGGCAGTCGGAGCTGATTTGTTCACTCATTTACTTACCGTGGCTTCTCAGGCTTTAACATGATGATGTCAGAATTGTTCCAGTTTGAGACAGTTGGACTCTATGTACTGGTGTCATTATTCATTATCTTTTATATTTATACTTCTTTTGTTTTATCTTTTTACAGGGTGCCAGAGGCTTTAGAGGGGACAAGGTAAGCTGTAACTGCATTTAGTAAAAGTTTGTCATAATTATTTATTTGATTTACATAAATCATTATTTGATTTATGGGTGTAACATGAATTAAGTATGTTTATGTTTAATCTGTCTTTCAGGGGGATGATGGGGAGAATGGAATTGATGGTGTACCCGGAGAACAGGTGAAATTAATGTTTCTAAAACATATTATTTGTACAATATAATAATTAATGCAGGATAAGAAAAAAAAATCCCAATGTGACACATTCCAGTTTAGACTTACAGTGATTCTCCTAATCAATAACCTCCCTGATCATTTTATTTGGAGAAGCTACTTGAAAAAATAAAAGACATCCAGTTCCAATGAAAACGTACTTGTCCCATACAAATTTTTTGTGTGTTTTCTATGTATTTCTGTGTAACTAGAAGGCAAATGTAAACAAACTGCACCCTACATAAACTGCTGAGACTGGCAGTAAATCCTGAACCTTTCTGACAAGGTTTGCACCTATAGTTAAAGGCACTGCAAAAGCAAAAAAAAAAGAATTAAAGTTTCATAAGATCAGGAATACATCTGTGAAAAAAATAATTTAAAAAACATTTAAGAATTGAGTATTGTTACAGGGTGAGCATGGAACATCTGGATTGACAGGAGAGTCCGGGAGCCCTGGAAGTCAGGTAGGTCAAATACATCTCTTGAGAATTATTTTTCAATGGTTCAGCTGCTTCGATTTAAAATTGCATTAGAAAATTTAGAGTGGATGCATTGCTTTCAAACTGTATATTAATTTAATATAGTGTGATGTGTTTTGTCAGGTATGGCCACAGCTATGCAAGGTGTAAGGGAAGTAAGAAGTGGCTTAAGTGGCTTGAGGTTCAGTGACCACCAGGGGGGCCCAGAATAACAATGCAAAATACTTTATATTGCTGACTAATCATCTTTCATAGCTACATAACTTTACCCCTAATACTAAAAATCACATCAGTATGCAGCTCTGCATGCTGATTTAAAGTCATCTTACATCCATTAGTTAAACACACTTGTTTTTAATTTACTTACAAATAGAGTTCGTCCACTTCCCGGTCCAGTTCTGGAACCAATGATATATGTGCCAAAGCGTTGCATCTTGGGCAAGTTACATCAGCAGAGCATTGCTGGGAAATCTCATCTGTACTCTCATGAGATCTCAGGGAAAGGCATTTTCCTCCCCTGAGATGATGTGCATGGTCACATGTCCTAGTCACATGTCTAGTTACATGTTCCAGAGTTCAAGGAAGTAAATGGAGAGTTGGTAACCCGCCCTTAGTTAACCACTGTCAGAAGACTGGGAAAGAAAGAGAAATAAGGTATGCAAAGAATAAAAAGCCGGCAATTATCTAGAAGTATGTGTTTGTAGATTGTCATTACTAAACACTTCTAAATGTGTATTTGTTGTTATTGGATATGGGTAACGTTTCTCTTTAACAGGGGGATGAAGGTTACAGCACCTGCCTGGCACATTTTTAGCATTAATAGTCCACCAAGACACATGCACTTTCATCCACCCTTCTGTGAAATTGTTTTCTTCTGCCATTTTTTTATATAAATGTTTTTTTTTTATCCCAGAATACCTTTTTCTCCCCATTCTAGGCATGATCTATGCATCTAAAGAATAGCCCATTTATTTTGCTTTGCCTAGGTTTGTCTACCAAAAAACATTATTTATTGATGGTGTGCTGTAATAGTTTATATTTGCTTCAAATATTTTAGGGGAAAAAAGGACCTCGAGGAGAATCAGGAGAAAGGGGTGAACCTGGATTTAGAGGAGACCTTGTAAGTATGGATCAATATCAAGTTTTTTCAAAGGCATGCTATTCTTTTGGAAGAATACAACTATTACAGCTGCAATTGTCACTGTTAGTCCATATAAAACAAACAATGAATACTGTATTTGTGTTTATGTAGCTGAAGAAATGCATTTTATAATCGGAACACTGTGATATATCATTACTAAACATATACCTTAAAGCAGGGGTGCCCATTAGGTAGATCGTGATCTACCAGTAACTCTCAAAGGTGATGCTGGTAGATCACGAAGGGTGTGAATTGGGGCCCCTTTATTCCATTTTGGTATATTTATTTAGCTGTGCACACATGATTACTTATTAGCCTGCGTCTGCTGAGCCAAGCTCCCTGACACCTTTTTGGTGGATACTGGTGGTTGAAGTGCTATGTATTACATCAAAGAATATTAGTTTACACAGCCTGTTGCAAAATACAGCAAGGTGGACAGAGCAGGGAGAGACAGGAGAGAGAGGAAAGACAGCCAGGAGAGAGAGAGCATGGAGAGACAGCCAGGGGAGAGAGCAAGGAGAGACAGCCAGGAAAGAGAGAGCAAGGAGAGACAGCCAAGAGAGCAAAGAGACAGCCAGGAGAAAGAACAAGGAATGACAGCCACGACAGAGTGGAGAGACAGCCAGGCCGATAAACAAGGAGAGACAGCCAGGAGAGCGAGGGAGTTTTTTTTTTTTGGTAGATCTCATGTAGCTCGTCATTTGAAAAGTAGATCTTAACAAAAAATTGTGGGCACCCCTGAAGTATAACTCTTGGCAAAAAAAATATTTAGGGGGCTATTCACAAAAGAGCTGAAGGATCCAGCCGTAGCTTCGGCTTATCCTTTAGCTCTCTTCGGCCGCCGGAGCCCTTCGGTTCAGTCGAGCTGAAGGGCTGCTGTACAGACTGTTCACAATAGCCCGTATAACAGCCAAAGGCAGCCAAGCGGCTCGGCCGAGGGCCGGCCTTTCGCACCACAAATGACAGCTGGGCAGAGCCAGCCATGATCTTACATCTGTTTTAAAGACAGATCAGCATTCCCATATGACCTGGGGACGCAAAACTGTCATTAAACAATAACAACTGGGCAGAGCCGGCCATGACGTCCGCCCAGTTGTTCATTGGCCGGGACCTGCTAGAAGACTCTAGCAGGTGCTGGCCAATAGGAGCCAGTTTTTTTATTTAACTATTTATTTACATTTTAAAAATATTTTTTTCAACCCTTTTTTTTAAAACTTTTTTCATTGATTTGCTATTCTGCTCGGTACCACAAAGCTATTCTGCTCTGTACCACGGAGGTACCGAGCAGAATAGCCAAGCCGAATGCCGCTCGGCGGCATTCGGCTATTCACTCACTGCCGTTCAGCCCCTATGTGAATAGGGGCGAACAGCAGCAAGTGAGCTGCCAAAGCTTCAGCTCAGCCGATCCAGATGTTGGATTGGCTGAGTCGAAGTCCTTCTGCACTTCAGCTCATCCAAACATGCAGAGCATGTTCGGGTGACCGAAGTACAGCCGAAGGCAGCTGATGTATGACTGAAATCAGCCGTACTGAACCTTAGTGAATAGCCGAACGTTCACTTCACTTTGGCTGGGTTATTCACTCAGCTGCCTTTGGCAGCTTTGTGAATAACCCCCTTAGTTTCAGGTAGAATGTGGAAGCCTGGAACCTCTTTTAGGTTATTGCTTTTTGGGTCCACATTGGGAAGATTTCCCCTCGCTTCTCTGGTGACCACTGTCTCTGGCACAGAAAGTAAGGTGAAATCTCTCCAATGAGGACACAGGCAACAATAAAACCTGATGGAGGAAGAAAAAAAAAGTATTGGCTGGAGTCCCACTGTAAACAAAACAGTTATAAAGCAGTTAATGTGACATTCAGCAAACATTCACTGCAGGTAAGTAAATCACTGTAGTTTAAAAGCATGACCAGGAAGATATTCATAGTGAATATTTGGTAAATTATTGGTAAATGTCACACAATCAAATGTGTGAATTGTTTTTCAGAATTATTATTTCTCAGTTATTCTGTAAAAACGACAATTTAGTGTTATAAAGAATAACATACTACATATATTTTTTAGGGGGAGCCTGGAATTAATGACAATGTACCTGGACCAAAAGGACGGAAAGGAAATCAAGGGCGACAGGTAAAAATAGAAAATGAGAGTTGGCATAGAGACTATGGATTTTGTTTGTTCATATATATATTAGCTTCCTTTCACTGCCTCTATCTCCCAACTTTGGCATCAAGCCCAACACCCCCTATTAAGAGAATAAAAATGTTTAGCCAAATAGCTTAAGGACTTTAAGGAAGAAGTGCTTGGTGAAATTATGGCAGATGGCACCACTGTATAGGTCAGGCATCTAAAATATGCTCACCAGCAAACCCAATAGCTTGCAAAGAACAACCATAATGCTCACATGTAGAAAAAGAGAAGTTTTGGAGCCTCATAGGACTCCTTAATCAGGCAACAGTGACAGCAACAGTTCACTGTTACCTGATGAAGGACTCATGTGAGGCTCCAAAACATAACTTTTTTCTACATGTGAGCATTCAAGTTGCTCTTTTAAAGCTATTGGGTGTGAAATTAAGCAACAACCTATATAAATGAAGCAAGAGAAGCACTTGTAAAATGTAGGAGACCTTTGAGATGATCTATATTCTTCATCATGTCTCCTGAATAAGAGTAGCTGGAGGAAGGTGGGAGCCAAAATGCCCCTAGAGGTTGATGCATGGAACAATCATGTGCTTTTATATGTGTATGTATGGGTGAATGATAATGCCAAATTGCAAATGGTTAAAGTGAAGGGCTATATAGGGTAAACTAGAGTAAATGAAAGGGAAAGTATGCTATAGATTAAAGACACAGAACTAGATATGCAGTTAGAGAGACTTTATGCGCCATTTCACTTTCCTGTTACAACAGCTATGCAGGGTGTCTAATTATGGCTGTGGCTGTTATTCAGCCCTGCCAGCACTGGTCACTACTGTGTGAGGGAAGGAAGCAGTATTTTTACTGAGAATAAACGGTATTTTAAACCATTTCCTAACAAAAATTGGTCAAATCATAACATGTGGACATACAGGCCTGTAAAGAGATAGAAAGGTATGAGACTTCAGCCACATGGCGACCACGTGACGATGCGCACACAATCGGAAATACGCACAAAGATGCACAAACGGCAGGCGCACAGGAAGTGACACAACAGGCATTAAGGAAATTACCTATTTAAACGAGCCTGCCCTGCTCACTGTGCTGATGGTCTTTCAACTGTGTGTGGTTGTTCCCTGTGCCCGTGATCCTGTTGAAGACTTTGCCTGTGACTCGGATTGTTTGGACTCCTCTTGATTGCTGCCTGCCCCTGACCTTGGCCTGTATCCTGGACTTGTTTATTGCCTCACGATTTTGTACCTTGCTGGCTCTGATCCTCTGTTCCTGCTTCCTGAATTGGCTGATCTGCACCTGTGCCTGATCCCACCTGTGGCATTCGTGCTCCTTGCTGTCCTTTCACACCCTGTTCTCACCTCCAGGGGGTGTAGGACACGAGAAGTAAGAGAAGCCTCCTCAACTATCGGTCTCTCACCAGGTACGTGATATAGGCCCTAAACTGGTAAACCCATTATACAGACTGTAATAAACACTTTGAAAGATATTATAGCAAAACATAATTATAGAAAGCCTGTACATAAACGTTAAACTTGAAACTACACTCACTTCATCTTTATTCTCTTTTACTGATCTCATGAAACGTAATCAGGTAAAAGCAAAATATAATCCTTAGTTACAGATTATAATGGAGAGGTTCAGTAGATATCTGTTTTATCCTAAATAGTTTAGGATTACCTAAAGTGGTATTTCAAAAATAAATCGGAAAATGTATTTTACAGGGTGAACCAGGGCAAGATGGCGTACAAGGAGAAACTGGAGATGATAGTCCAGAGGTAAAATATATATTGATTCCATAATGCTGTTCTTGTAACTAAAATATAATCTAAAGCCATATTAGGAAACTGGGTTATTTTCAGTTACCTCACCTTCCGAGCTGTGTAAAATATTGTTGGTGCAGAGCAATAGGGAACCCCACTACTGCAACCATCAACAAGAACAGAAAGCGCCACTAAAACAGTGTAAGAGTTAACTCGGTTGCAGAGAATATATCTATGCCTACCATGGCAATGAATCATATGATCATATAGCTACGTATTTGGTCATGGGATCTTAGATGAAGTGGAGGATCAGAGTCACAGCAGGCCTGACTAGTCAGTCCCAAAGCACCTACAACTGAGTTCATTTGAGTTCATTTAACAATGCCTAGGCTTATGGCCACTTGGCCAATTAGCCATAAGTATGGGTTATTATATTTTCAATAAAGGTACACTTCTTT